ATATATATATATATATATATATATATATATATATATATATACACACATACATACATACATACATACTAAAACCAATTCAACATTAAGGTGATTAATACAGTTGAACAATTAATACTTGAGTATTTTTTTTAAACATTCATTATTCAATTTTGAAATTTCAATGAGACTGTAAAGTGCTTCAGTGAGAAATCCATTAAAAAATGTAATGAAAATTTCTCTTTCTACTACTAAAAAACCATTCAATGATCCTAGGGGGGGAAAGCATTTATTATACCTACTGTTACTGATTTTTGTTTTTTGCAAAGTTATTGTTGTTAACCTCTATTAAAAGAAATGCTTCAATTGTTGGAGAGCTAAGCAAATATTTACTTTAGAAATGAATAAACAGTTTAAGTTTCTGTCAATAGTTTACTCACATTTTGTTAAGTTGATCATTTGTACCATCGGCTACTGAAAACAAAATACTTTTCCGGACATTATTACGAGTATCTTAAATTACAGAACTGCAATTATTGTTTAAAAAGTAATAATGTAATTTTGAAACAACGTATGGTAAATAATAAAGACTTCCACTTCAAGCCTTTCCTGCATTATAGTGATTTTAGCACAGTGTAGTTATTCAAATAATGAGTTTTTAGAGGAATAATTATACTCACTATGTCGGTGTTAATTTCAAATTACACTACCACTTTTTAAAAATTGTAGTATCTAACTCCTTTTTTTGTAGCAGTCTTGCTTTCAAGATGGATATAACTTCACTACTAATGCTTTCCTCCTTTGACACAATAAAGAACTAGTGATGTCAAATGAGCATTTGCAGAGTGCCTTTGAAGGTTAAGTAATTGCAGCTCTCAGATAATCCAGGGTAATCTGCTCTCACTAAATGGAAGCTACATGCCCAAGTTTGGCATCCAGGATGATTGTCTAGGAGTAAAGGATATCTTCGATTTTGGATTTACCTATTGTCTTGGAAAGAAACCATGCATCTGCTTGCGGCTGTTTGTGTCATGATCGGCATTTTGGAAGAAGTGGATAGTTTCTGCCCTTCTCAATGCAGCTGCAGTTACCACGGCATGAGTGATGGAACCAGAACAAGGTATTTTTTTCCCCCTTGACTTTTCAAGTATGTGTTATACTTGTAAGATTCCCATCCGTTATCAAATAACAACAAAAATGTTAATGGAATTTTAAGGAGAAATTTGTATTTTTGGAAGACTGTTTTAAAATCTGGTGTAATCATGGATTAGGTAACCCATCAAATTGGATGATAAGCAGAAGCTAGTCGGCTAAAGGTACAAGCACACATATGTGCACACATACCGGGGGGGGGGGAATTAAAATTCGAACCAAATTAGGAATAGTACTTACACTGGGCTTAGGATCTACTTACGGCAATGTACCAGTTCATTAAAAGTGAGATTCCTTATCTTATCTAGTCTGCACATTTAATGTAATAATGAAACTGCATTAACCTAGATGTAAAAAAAAAATCCTTCCATTACTCTATATGTAAAAATATTGTGTAAGAGGATACAGTTTTCTGCTCTATTATGAAAAATTGCTTTATTTTCTTTTATAGAGAGAGATAAGCACACTGGCTATACAATGTGATCCAATCAAGGGGCGAGGTTTCAATGCTGTATCTCCATTATGTGGAAATTGAAACCTTTTTTGATTTAAAAAAATAGCAGGATGATAAACAAAATGATTCAAAGTGATTAGGGCAATAAGCTTATAAATCTTATTCATTCCTTCCTTCACATGCCCAATATGAGATGCCCAATATAAGCAAGTTTCTTCCTAGTACTGGTGTTATATGCTCATCTAATTTAAAATAAAAATAAGTTTTAACATATACTACATTTTAAAGTAATATAATCAAGGAATCTCCTTTATAAAACAACAATAAAAGTATTTTACAAAACTATCATGTTTTCTATTTGACAGTCTCAGATTAGGTGAGGAGATAATTCATTTAATGACCTAGAGATAATCATATTTATCTATTTCATCTGTTTACAGCGTTGTAATGATAAAATGTGTCGGGAGAGGGAAAGATATTTGAATGCCATTCTGAGTTTTTTGAAGGAGAGTTTAGAAATAATTAAATGTAATACTATCTGTGTGAAGTATATTTTAAGCCCCTTTAATTTGTGGATTGTCCTTTATTCGGTCACTTCTATGTTCAGGCTGTCATATTTTATTTCACTATGCTTGATCCTGAAGTGGTACAATTCTTAAAGGTGCATTTATTTTCTTAATAATTTAAGACCCCAGTTATTAACCATACATTCAGATAAATTATATAAGGATGCATTAAAGGTGTTTCATGTGGATGATACTTTATTACTGCTACTGAAAGGCACTTTTAAAATTATCATGTTACAGAACAAAATTCAGTAGACAAATCAGTTGCTTTCCAGGACTATATATATATAACTTCTTTGGCTTTCCCACCATTCCTCATTATTTGCAAGAAGAGAGCCATAGTGAACACAGCTGGATTGATTTGTCACTAGGATCTCAGTTTATTTTTTAAATACATTGTGAAAACCTATATGACCATAGCTGTTTCTCTTTGTTTTTTATTAGATCTGTGCTTTGTAATGATCCTGATATGTTTGAAATCCCTATCAATATTCCTGTGGACTCTGTAAAACTCCGGGTAGAAAAGACAGTCATAAGAAAAATTCCAGCAGATGCTTTTTATTACCTGGTGGACCTCAAATATCTATGGCTTACTTACAATTCTATCACCAGCATTGATAGCAGAAGCTTTTATAGTTTAAAGCAGCTACATGAATTGCGTCTGGATGGCAATTTGTTGTTGCGTTTCCCTTGGGAGTCATTGGCTGAGATGTCCAATCTACGAACTCTAGATTTACACAATAACAAAATGACCAGTATTCCAGTTGAGGCCGGCAAGTACCTGAGAAATCTCACTTACTTAGATATATCTAGTAACAAACTAACATCCTTGCCTTCAGACCTCATGGATATCTGGCTTCCTTTTTCTGAAACAAAAGTACCCAGAAATACAGATGCTCCGATGCACAGGGTCATATTAGGTAAGCATGAGCAATTTGATTTCTTTCTTTGAATTGTGCCTTCTGAGGGAATTTAGAATTAGTCCATAGTATGAGCTCAAATACTGTGATCAATCAGCTTCACAGTAACTGATCAACTATTGTTCTCATACTGAAAAAATGTTTTGTTGATAGCCTGGGTGTGCAATTGTTACAACTGAGATTGGCATTTCATTGTTGTGTAGACATTCAGTAACAAAATTAGTTGACCCATTTTGATCAGCACATTGGTTGGTTGAAAGCTTCAGCAAGTTAAGTGCAGTCAGCCACATTTCCTAGTGGAGCAAAATTTAGTGTGCTGAATTGGTATATTCAAGACTGGACTAGTCTTCCCTTTAGACATGGGATATAGAATGTTATCCTTAACAGCTGGTAAGAAATTACTGCTTAATTCAACTAGGGTAGGAAAAACAATTATTCAGCCTTGAATAATTTTTAATTTTTACAATTAAAATTAATTTGAAACACAGTAATTTACAACATCTCCTAATATATGACTTTCCATACAGCCATGCATTATTCCATTTTCACAATCTTTGCTTGTAGTAAAGCACCTCTATAAGATTAATTTTGTAATTGTAGAAGTATGTTTTTCTAGTTTAAAAAAACATAGTTGAATTTCATAATCTTAATATTTTGCATATATATATATATATATATATATATA